CACAGGACAGTGCGCTTCCTCCACACTGAAAACAATTTAACCCAAGGCCCGCGAGTAAACCAATGTTTTGCGGGTACCCCTATCCGCAACCATTTTTAACCACCCTCCCAGGAGTACAGTAAGGTCCCATTGCAGTGTAGTCATCCCTGCTCTCAGCGGACTTGTTCGCTGACAGCGGTTATATCCGCTCAGAGCAAGTACGACTACACCGCAATGGGACCTAGCACTACTCCTGGGAGGGTGGTTAAAAATGGTTGCGGATAGGGGTACCCGTAAAACACCGGTTTATTCGCCAGCCTTGGGTTAAATTGTTTTCAGTGCACCGCCAGTGTCTGGTGTTATTGGAAAGGGAGAAGACATTGGCATGAGGTAGAGAGGGTGCCAATAATGGAAGCGTATAAAGTCGAGCTTAGGTGTGAAGTGTTCTGTCATGCAGCTTGCCTCAGCAAGAGTCGAGACGCGCATGGTCTGAGACCAGAAGCTCTGTCGGGCTCAGACAGGTTGACCTCGGTGACCCTGCCAGCCGCGTCTGCTGATCCCCTCCATGGCAGAGTAATGACGGCAGTGACGCTTTTATCACCAGATTGTTGTTATTGCCCGGCGCCGCGCACGACCTCTCCAAGCCGAATACTTTGCATACATTTGTGTGTCGACAGTTAACGAGCTCCTGTAGGCGTTTTTGGACCACATTGCACCACATTGGCGGACTTAATCTGAGTGATTTGACTTTATCCCGTGTGCCAATGACCTGGTGATGCAAGCTGGCCCCGAGGACAGGCCACTGGCCGGTAAGGGTCCGTACGGTTGCCCTCGGAGCGCGGAGACTGATGCAGCATAACGGTCACAGCAGCCGATAGACATGTTCGGCACACTGCACAGCACCCCAGCCCCCGCGAACAATTATTTGAAATGATTTTTTATGTGTGCTTAGAATACGCAGCGTGCGTATGTTTCATAATAGTTAGCTCACAATTTTCATTTAGTTCCAATTTACGGTACTTGTTATTTATCAACGGTGTTTGGTGCGCTGCAGACAGCTACACAAAACAGCTTTTGTGCATGAAAATGAAATCAGAATATTGGTGTTTTAAGTACTTTTTTAATCGTGCATTGTAAAAAATGTCTTTGCGTTACTATACTGTCATAGATAAGTTACATTTTCAATTTGAAGATCTAAGCGATTCGGGTTAGAATTAAGAATATTGCAAACAAATATGTGCTAGTTTGCATATGATGTGCTCAATAATCATATTAAGAAGCATAGTTCATTGTTGGCTATTTAACCCTCGCACTTATGGGGGAGGGGAAGGGGGTTCGAGCGGACCTCCCTGGGTTTTTCGCGAGTAGCTCGCATAAAAAGTGGCCGATCGCAACAAAACTTGCAATACCCTGGAGTTAATCATTTTTACATATATCCTAAAACTTTCATGACCCTGATCCAAATGACGTTTGACCTGTGACCTATTTCTGGAGATCATGTTTGGCCGGAATTGCGATTCGGCGTATGTCGGCTCACCATATCCGCGCGTTTGCAGTCTTTTTGTAGTTTTAAACGTTCAAATATGTGAAATGATGCTGTTCCCATGCAATATGGTGGGTGTCAAGGACACGTGAATGTCAGATCAGGTTATTTACCTTTGAAGACCTCGGCTCATTTTTTCGAGTTATGCATGTTTCTAGGGTAGTTTTGGAGCTTATTTCGAATTTAGCAGCCATTGGAGCATTTACGAAGTAGTTTTGGTGCCTTCGTAACATGTTACGAAGCTGTCAGTGGTGGTTGACACCTACTATGGATAGCCGGACCCCTACTGGGTGACCTGACCTGACCTGACCCGACCTGGCCTAAATGCATGAAGACATCATCTGTGCTCAAAACTGACGTGGAATTTGTGATCAGCACCCCGAAAAAAAAAATAACAGCCACACATTACGGAGTTCTGACAAGTCCCGATTTTCCCGACTTTTGTGTCATTGACCTGACCTGGAAGGTCAACCAATGACCTAAGTCTTTGAATTTGGGTATCATCGGCTTCCTCTCGTCACGGGCAACACGGTCGTTTTTTTTCGCGAAGCTCTAAGCTCCAACAGGGGCCGAGCGGCAAGGGGTGTCTAACCTACCTATACGTCCGCGGCTGGCAAAACACTAACACAGGCGAGGGTTAACCCTCGCCCGCGAGGATACTGAAATTTCGTCGCGTTCGGCCGCTTTTACGCGAGCTATTCGCGAAAAACCGAGAGGGGGGGGTCCGTTCGACCCCCTTCACGGGCGAGGGTTAAAGCGCTATAACTATGATTGGTAGGAGCAAGCCTTTGGTAGATAGCATATGGTAGGTATATTATGCAATGAATTTCCGTACCCAACATAGTGCAAACTGATTCTGTTCAAATGTTTCGAAAGAGAGAACCCAAACAGATCATATAACAATATTTTTGATAATAGCCGTTTTCACGACGGCCATCTGGTACACATTTGGTGCACATCTGGTACAGATTAGGCGCAGATCTGGTCAAATCAGGTGCAGTGTGTCTCCTAGCAGCTATCAGCTAGGGTGGCGGCACTATGTAATTGCTTATATGCCTGCTTTGTCATGAGAGCATCATCGATTAAAACACTGAAATAAATTCATAAGTTAAGATAATTGCTGTAAAAGAAATTAGTTGCAGATTTGGTCAAATCAGGTGCATTCGCCGGATAGCCCGTCGTGAAAACGGCTACTATGCTAAGGTTTCATCCACGAGCAACTATTTTTAGATACAATTTAATCGTTCCTTATAGCATCATAACGACAATGTCATATAGTGAGCACACAATAAAGATACATACGGTGATAGTCAAAGATACACATGGAAAGCATATACATAGACCTCAGAACAGCTCATCCATGTACCTGTCTCACTGATTTCCCTTATTTGCCTGCCGTCCACCGCCCCCGCATCCCACGCTGCGCAGGTCTGCGAGGGGCCGAAGAGATTGGGTGAAGAGATTATAGGGCGGACTGGAGACTATTATAGTCACCACGTTGATCCGCATCCCAAGACCAGGCATATACGAGTATGTATATAAATAAAATCCCATCGCTTTAAGATCATCATGACGACGGTGATGGTATTAGTGAGTAAGCAGCTTAGTGAAAGATACATACGGAAAGCATATAGACCTCTGAACAGATCACCCATATGACTGTCTCACTGATTTGCCTTATTTGCCTGTCGTCCACCGCCCCCGCACCCGACGCTGCGCAGGTCTGCGAGGGGGCTGTACCACGGCGGGGCGCAGGACGGGGTGACCGTGCGCCGCCCCCGCCTGCCGTCTGTTGACATTGGCCAGATCAGAGCCCGCCGCCGGCGACCGGCACCCGCCGCCGACACGAGCCATTTGCGAGTCCTCCGACTGGCCCCTCGGCCAGCCGCCGGCTGCCCAGGGGCGTAGCATCCGGCCAGAAGGGCTGTGCAGTCGGGCCGCCGACCATTCGGTCACGGGGCGGGGGACACGGCCGGCGCGCACTGTGGACAAATGACCCGGCCGCGGCCGGAGGTGCCGCTCGCAGGCCCCCGCTGCCGCGGAACAGACCGGGCACGCGCGCACACCGCACGGAGGGCTGCACGCCGAACGGGTGGTGTGTCGGCGCACCGAGCGCGCCTGTTCCGGGGTTTGTTTTGCCTGTCCGGCGGGATGTGGCCGAGTGATGAACGGTGATGAGGTGGTGTGCTCTGGTGCAGAACTGGTGGGATGGCCCGACTACTGCACTGCGCTGCAGACGACTGGTCCAGAGACAGAGCGTCTGCTCCGACTGCTCCGGCCAGTCCAGTGTCCAATGTCCGGTGTTCTATCTCCAGGGTCCGGTCCGAGACTGTGTTCTCCTCTCCTGACTCGCACTACTTTGGCCATTTTATACCCAATTTGTTTTGATATGCTAGCTGTCTCCTGAAGATAAGTGCATCAAAGGGAAATTCTTAAAATCAATTTTGCTGTAAAATTCTTATTATGGTGCTGCTGTTGGGATAGCTGACCTTCGATTCAGCCCTGAGATATTTTACCACTTACCACATTTTCAGCCAGGTTGGCATATGTTATAAGTGAACCTCTGCACGTTCGAAAATTGTCGCGAATTTGCAACGCTCTTGCAGTTGCAGGGAGATAAAGCATTCAGGGAACATTAGGTTCCCGATTCCTTACAACCTACAATCTGCGTAGGTAGATCGGATTTCCCATCACTTTGGTCACCTGAGGTCAAGCTGGTCACGTGACCTCACCATTCAAAAGGCAATGGGCAAATGTGTTAACTACTTATTTAGTACAGAAAATGTTATAAATGAAATAAGCTGAAAGACATGGATGAAATCTTAACCTCATACCGTCCTTGTGCGACACAATATCTGGTTTTCGCACGAGACCTATGGTGACGTAATAGATGACGTCGCTAAGGTCAGCTGCGGTCACCAGAATAGCTCGTCATTGGTTCATCAATAGGAAGCGAGTTCCTCGCCTCCGATGAAATTGAGCCAGCGAGTCAAGAAAGACACCAATGAACTCGAATTGGACTGCCAAATCGAATGGTGTGCAGAAAAATCTTCCCCAGCTAACTGTCTTTGTCTTTGATTAACCTTTCGCAAACAATAAAGTATAGCTCTGTATGCGACTGAGAGCGAAAGACTGATGAACGCTGCTAAATTCGTTGCACTGCTACTATGTTGAGCAACATTATTGGCTTATAATTGGATTTGGGGTCTTTGACCTGACCTCAGAGACCACCCGGCTAACCGAGACATTCAACTTGGACACAAATCTCTGCGTCTGGTAACGGCGCTCATGCTCGATTTGTTCGCGATGCGCTTGCTCAATTACAGAGGCGAAACGAAGAGGGTGGCGTGGGAGGTAGTACACCTAACCCCTCAGCTGTTGCTCGTGTAGAAAGTCGATAGGTACAGTGAAGTTTTTCTGTGCATCCTGGCAATATTTGAACATCACACTTCGGCTCGGCTATGGAATCACAATACAATCAGGCTGTGTGGTTGTTTATTACAGATACGCTGCACACTAGAGCCCACACTTCGAACATGAGTAAAACATGATACATGACCATAACAATGCTGAGTGTGCAGAACACATGGCAATGATTGCACGACGTAACAACACTTATTAACACGTTTGACTAATGAGGAGTATTGCTCATAACGCCGTTACTATTCACAAGGCTTCATGATCTCATCAATGGTAAACCCGGTAGTCTTTCTTACAGACAGATTTAAAGCTTCACTGTCGTCAGATTGGCTGAGCCTCAGCTGACCTAGCCTTGCAGCAGGATCACGTGACATTACCGCCTCTTTAGATCTCTCCTCTGACAACAAACCGTGACGAAGAAACAGAGAACCTTCACAGTTTTCAAATGCACTCGTGCGTGGAATTATCTCACACGAGCCATTCTTCAGTAAGTCACCTGATTCTCGTCGAATCTCTGAAGAAGCGCGCTGTGGCGGCGGCGGTGATTCTGCGGCAGAAGACTGAGGTCTTGAGACCTCTCTCAGCCACGGAGGTCGTACTGAGGACGAGTCACCACCTGCCCGTGGCCCCAGCTGAAGCTCCGCGAGCCGCAGGGTCGTCGGCGAGGGGCTGCGCGGAGCGTGCTGAGCGCGGTGGGTGGCCAGGGTGCGCGCCTGACAGAAGCCTTTGCCGCATACCTCACACTGGAATGGCTTCTTCTTGCTGTGGGTGTACCTAGAAGAGGGATGGAAACAGACCTGTTATTTGAGTGGTGCACTATCCGCTTCCGTCATATTTTCCTTCATTGATGCGGATGCCTTTTATTTAAAATTAAAAGAAAACAAAACATGCTAAGCGTCTTTTTGCCTCCGTAGTTGGATTTCCCTAACATATCGAATGGTAAGAAGACCAGTTTCTAAATAGTAAATAGCCACCGCATAGCATACCTACCTATTTCTAACTATTTCCTAGCCTGCCTCAATTATGACCTTATTTTTACTTTTCTACCTCATCATTACACCTGTCAAGTATCACTCCAAGAAACTATTTTGTATTTTGGAGATTCCATGCGCTTCGAAAAGTTCTTGCCGCCCTGAAAGTTTTACTAGAACCCACCTGTGGTCTCTGAGGTGGTCCTGCCGGCGGAACGCCTTGCCGCAGACGTCACACGGGAACGGCCGCTCGTCCGTGTGCGTCCGCTCGTGGATCAGCAGGTTGTAGCTCTTGCTGAACTCGCGCTGGCAGTACTGGCAGATGTAGCGCTTGCGGGAGCGCGCCGGCCGGCCGGTGCGCCAGGGCTGCGGCAGCGCCGGCTGCAGCAGCTGCAGCGGCAGCTGGCAGTACGGCCAGCCGTGCAGCAGGCCGCGCTGCAGCTGTGCAGCCTGCAGCAGCGGGCTCAGCAGCTGCAGCCGGCTGACGGCCATCCCGGCGGCTGCGGCGCTGGCTGCAGCAGCTGCGGTGGCGGTCAGCTGGGCATGTTCCGAGCTCGCCGCCGGGAGCCGAGGGGACCCCGTGCCCTCTCCGCTCCCCGTCACCCACGTGCCGGCTATCTCCGGGTCCCCGGCCCGTCCGCCGTCACCGCGCGCCGCCGCCAGCTCCGGGCTCAGCCGCGACGCCGCCGATGACGCCGATGACGTCGGTGTGGCCGGCGGCGTCAGCAGGTGCGATGTCGTCTCGGCGCCGGGCGGCGTCGGCTGCCACATCTCTGCGGGCCGGGTGGTGCGTCTGTGCGCGAGACGGAGCGGCGGCGGCTGCCGTCCAGCCGGGCCGCCCCGCCCCCCCACAGCTGATTGGCCGCCAGGCCGGCGGGCCGTGCTCTGTTTTGGTTTGGTAGAGCGCCATGCCCGCCGCCCGGCCGCCGCCGGACCGGTGAAAGCACACCGACTGATGATGGCTGCCCCCGAGCTGCCGGCAGCGGTACGGCACCGGTCATTGGCTCGCCGCCGGCAGTCAGAGTCAGGGAAGAGTGAGGATAAAGCTTTTTAACAGCCGGTGATTGCGCGGCACAGCTGCGCAATGACAGGATTACATGGCTAAGCGACATGTCTTCACAGAGACAAAGCCCAGCATGTCAAACCATTGAATGAAAATACGCTGATGACGTTTGCCGAGTTTCACCTTGGAGCTTGTGCAGCTAAAGTCTAAATGTGCTGACTTTTCATCATAATGGGGAAATCCGATTGACGTGATTCCCGAATACATCTCAAACACCGAAAGCAATCACTCGAAGGAGGGGTTAGTTCAACATTGTTGGGCGTGTTTGTTCGTGATAATTTTCGGTTAACTTTTCTTGACATTTATGATGACGTCAAACAATGGGGATTTTATGATGTAGCATGACCTATCTGTATCAAATATTGAACTGTTTACATTTAAAAGTCACCTCTAGATGCCCTAGCTGACGCCATGACCGACAGAGTGGGTTGATCCAATGACGCATGGACAGCGCTCGCCTTATCGGTGGTAGGCGTCAGTCGCTACCGACTGACGTCCGCTCCGAGACCAACTACCACTCCCAGACCTACTACACAGCTCGGCGTGGCCGATAACGCACACAGGCCTCCGCGTGCGTGCTCCTGTCGAGTGGCCTCTGACGCCATCAGGGGAGGGCCGTGACGTGTCGGTGAAATCTGACATCGAGCGGTGTTCCTGGAGCTCCCACCCGCCGCACTGTTTGTCGGCATCTACAGACGGCTCGACTCACCAAGCCCTCTCCAAAACAGACGGCCCAGCGCGGGCCTCTTCTTGGTACTGCTTGTGGTGCTGGTGGGCCGTCGGCGGGGGCGGGTGCTCTAAATGCGGCGTGGGCTTCAGCTGCGACGTATGTAAAGCTAGCCAAGACATGACCGAGCGTTCTGTTCAGTGGCCGGCCTCACTGAGTGCCACTCTCGGCCCCGTTTGATGTGAAGCGATAGCGGATAATTCTGAAATGGCTTTTGTTGGCAGTGCGGGATAAGACACCCACCACAGACAGAGTATGTTTAGGCGACGTACTCGAACGCTGGTGAAACATGCCTGCGCCATCGGTGGCTTATTGTACTTACCACGATGGACGGAATAGGTGTGTCTGAAACACGATAAGTCAAGATGACGGCAGTACGTCACGAAGCAAACACGCATCTGAGAGCCATCCAGCTATTTTTGTCTGGTTTGCTACCACATAAGCTCGATGGCGACGAACGTTTGACATTGTGCTCTGGCACTGTGGCGCATCGGGCTCAAATCAATGAGTCAATGCCAGTAAAAATATTGAATTGTGTTGACGTGAGGTTTCTTAGCGAAACTCTGTAAATCTCTCTCTCTCCCCCCTTTCTCTCTCTCTCTCCCTCTCCCTCTCTCTCTCTCTCTCTCTCTCTCTCTCTCTCTCTCTCTCTCTCTCTCTCTCTCTCTCTCTCTCTCTCTCTGAAATTCTGAAAATCACTCTCGCCCGCGCCGCGCGTCAGGTGGCTGGGTAGCCTGTCTACGTGAGGGAGCTGTCTACATATGTGAGTGGCCTGTCCACGTGAGGGAGCTGTCTACATATGTGACTAGCCCGTCCACGTGAGGGAGCTGTCTACATATGTGACTAGCCCGTCCACGTGAGGGAGCTGTCTACATATGCGAGTAGCCTGTCCACGTGAGGGAGCTGTCTACTTGTATGTGAGTAGCCTGTCCACCTGAGGGAGCTGTCTACATGTATGTGAGTGGCCTGTCCACGTGAGGGAGCTGTCTACATATGTGTGTGGCCTGTCCACGTGAGGGAGCTGTCTACATATGTGAGTGGCCTGTCCACGTGAGGGAGCTGTCTACATATGTGAGTGGCCTGTCCACGTGAGGGAGCTGTCTACATATGTGAGTGGCCTGTCTACGTGAGGGAGCTGTATACATATGTGAGTGGCCTGTCCACGTGAAGGAGCTGTCTACATAAATGTGAGTAGCCTGTCCACGTGAGGGAGCTGTCTACATATGCGAGTAGCCTGTCCACGTGAGGGAGCTGTCTACATATGCGAGTAGCCTGTCCACGTGAGGGAACTGTCTACATATGCGAGTAGCCTGTCCACGTGGGCTCAGCCCCGGCTGGTCACTATGCTGCCCGGCCAGACCAATGTTCCCCGTAATTCCTATCATCTTTGCGGTTCTGAACTTGTTTCATTAGCTCGCCAGAGCCTAGCCCAACAAAACAAAACAGACAAGTCTGAGCACCGTGGAATGTATAGCACCACGAAATTCCAGACAATCTTTGGGCATGCATTTGACACATGGTCTGGAATGGGATTTTTAAGGCCAAGTACCGTCAACTCACGTCACCAGGTCACCAAAACCTGTACATTGTTAACCCTCGCCCGTATTGGTGTGTGTGTTTTTTTTTAAGCCTCGAACGTATAAGGGGGGGTCCGTCGGACCCCCCTTGCCGTTTCGCCCCTGATCGAGCTAGAGCTTCGCGGAAAAAACGAGTGTGTTGTCCGTGATGAGAGAAAGCCGAAGATACCAAAAACCAAAGGTCCTAGGTCATTGGTTAACCTTCCAGGTTAGGTCAATGACCCAAACGTCGGGAAAATCGGAACCTGTTAGAACGTCGTAAAGTTTGGCTGTAAGGGGTTTTCAGGGTGCTAATCACGAATATCATGTTAGTTTTGATCACCGTTATGATGTCTTCATGCATTTAGGCCAGGTCGAGTCAGGTCAGGTCAGGTCAGGTCAACCAGTAGGGGTCCTGCTGGGTATTCGTAGTAGGTGTCAATCGCCTCTGACAGCTTCGTAACATGCTACGAAGGTACCAAAACCACTTCGTAAATGTTCATATGGCTGCTAAATTCGAATTCAGCTAAAAAAAACTGGCCTAGAAACATGCAAAACTCGAAAAAGTGAACCGGGTCATCAAAGGTCAATAACCTGACCTGACCTTCAGGTGACCTTGACACTCGCCCTTATGTATGGGACCAACATCATTTCACATGTTTGAACGCTTGAAACCATGAAAAGACTGCAAAACTCACGGCTAATACGAGCCGGCATACGCCAAATCGCGATTCCGGCCAAACATGGTCTCGAGATAGGTCACAGGTCAAAGCGATGGACCGGAACCAATAATGCGAATGCTAACAGAGCTATGTACGCAAGAACATTTAACTGCATGTAAATACAGAGTTGGGGGTTCAGGGATTTCCTGTTTGACATGCAAACTACTCGAGACATTTATCTCGCGAGCAATTAAATGCTCACAACTCGTGTGGGTGTATTCTAGAGGTGGCAAAATGTGGACCCGAGGACCCGGTCCAAAGAACCAGTCTGGACCCATATGGGTCCAGACCGGTTCCTGGAAATTTTCTGACGGGTCCAACCGGGTCCTACCATAAACTATACATCTTGCACACTACACATTATTGCAAAATATGAAGTGAATGAAGTGAATGTTTCTTTGCACACAGTAGCTCATGAGTATTCCCAGTGGGAAATAGGCTGTTATACATGATGCAACTAATGATTACAAGAAGTTTGTATTAATTGACTTTTGGGGACCGGGTCCAACTGGTTCCGATTCCAACTAAGACCGGGTCCGACTGGTTCCAGAAATGTCAAGCCGGGTCTGGTTCGAGTCTGGTTCCCAAAATTTTCATCTTTTGCCACCTCTAGTGTATTCTTAAGCAAGTTTCCTAGGTACCGACCGACTAGGTAAATGACTTGTTAGCTGTTGGTTGGGAAAGTGCATACAATACCGCTGCTATCAATCTTATACAAGTGCTTGTCTATTTACTATGGGAAATCTTGAGCCCAGGTGGTGAAGGTCCGGGCTCTCCTCAATCAAGCTTAGTCAAGTTTCAGTGAGCAAAAGCTTCAAAAGAGCTGATGAACATCGTTTGCACATTATTTCTGTTTGCGTGCGATTTAAATCTTTGATAGTGTCAGCAGAATGCACATGATAACATGGCTGTTCCAGAGAGGCGATTAGCCCTTAGGGGCGTCGGGGCGATAGGGGGAGGTGCGCTAGACGCCCTCCTTCCCAGCAAGTCGCGGGTAAATGACTTTCAAGCTGTGAACTGTTTTGAAACCATACCCGGCCGCAGAATAACGTTTCGACAAATGTCAGCGCACAAAATCCATACGTTTCTGAACCAGAAGTGCCAGCAGGCAGCATGTTCGTCGTATAGGGGTACGATGGAAAGTCGGCAGGATTCCCACCGATTGACCTGGCCTGACCTGACCTATCGAATGCATGAATGCATCATCTTTGTTGAAATCTTACATGAAATCCAAGATGAGGAGCCCGAAAACTTTT